CTAGCAATGAGCAGCTGCAATGGAGGAGGCTCTAATAACCAATACATAGAATCATCTGGCCTGGTGACATCAATTCAGCCTGTGTCATCCCCCAATGCTAGACCAGTGGGTTTAGGAATGGAGTAGCCATAGTGGTAGGGCTGACACTATGAGTGAGTCTGATGGTATGTCCTCCTATTTACTGGGATGGTGAAATTCTTGACTTTTCCAGATGTTCTACCTCCCAATTTAAAAAAAAAAAATCTGACTCCCTATTCTGTTTAATCTTCTAAAGAATCAATCAGCTAATGTTAGCAAATCCATTGCTAGTTTGGAAAGGATAGACATAACTGTATAGCACATAGTAAGTATGAATTTACTGTTTTATCTCACCAGGTTCCCTTCTATCAAAAGACCAGCAGTCAAGAAAAGGAATCACCCGAAGGGTAAGCAATAAATGGACCTGGTCATCATCACATCATCACATCAACAGTATGACCATTGTCACACAATCAAATGACAATGATACCTTGGCGCCCAGGTGATCTGGTTGGATATGATTGATAGATATTTCCTGCTCAATTTTACTAGTAAATAGCATGGGTAACAACCATAGCCCAAGAAGGGTGTGGTGACCAAAGACTAGGAACTTTCATTGATAAAGTCTTCATTATCTTAGCAGATAAGCTAAGCTAGCACAATTGTGTTCATAATATGTCCATCTATGCTTACCATGGATTGCCCTATTTTTGCATTAAAAATCTTGCACCCCAACAGTCTCTGTAGACTTAGGTGAATCAGTTTGGTTTTCCCATAACTATTCCTATTTTAAAATAAGAATCAATCTAGAAAATTTGGAAGAAGTCATCACCCCATGCTGTCCTAAGGGGAGGGAAACCTAGAATGAGCTTCACTAGAGAGATAATGAATAACAGTTGAAGTTTGAGGACCAGCTTGGTAGCACAGATAACTGTTTTCACTAACTTACTTCTCACATAATTCCCAAACCACAAGAATAATCAGAGTCACTGGATATGCAAAGATGTAGCAATTACACTAAACTCACTTATCACTCATTGGCTATGGTGGGTAGAGTATAATGCAAGGCCAAGTACATTGCCTAGATCTCCCATGAGAAAGAAATTATTCCCTTAATTGAGAGGCCATAGCCTAGTCCTTGTCTAGAAATTATGCTTGACCTTAAAATCTACCTCATTCAAAATAATGCCTTTTCCCTAGAGTAACACATGTTCAATGTCTGATTCTTGAAAAGGATAAATAGTTCAGCCTTCTTGCCTAATTTCAGCATAGGCCCAAAGAAAAATCTTAGCTTCAGATCTCCCCCAAGGACTGACTGCTTGATTCTCTGTTGCAACTACATTGTAATACAGCTTCTTATCTACCAATATTCCCTCATTCACACAGATTCTTCCAAAGGACCCATTCTAATTAGATTCTTGCTTTTTTTCATATTAAGTGAATAGAAAATTGTGGGAATATTTCAGTGGTAGAATGTTTATCAGGCATGCATGAGTCCATGGATTCAATCCCCGAGACAAAATACAAAAAAGAAAGAAATCATGTTTTGCCACTCTCATGGCACTGGTCAGTAATCCAAGCTTCTCTGGAAGCTGAGGCAGGTAGTAGTAAGTGAAGAACACAATAAAGAGCAGATATCAGTACATATGCCTAGTTCCTGCTTAAAGAATGGACACCATGGAAAAGAGCCATCTGTGGAGCCCAAAGACACTCATGGTGAGAGGAAAAAAAAGCACTAGTGAAAACTAGGATGGGATGCTGAACAGGGAAAAACATGAAAATTCCAGCTAAGATAGTGTATTCTGAGAAGTATTGAGAAATATTCTTGGATATTTGGATGATAATGACAAAATTTTTAAGGGAGTAGGAATATGTTAGAAGGCAATAATACATAGGGAGTCATTTGTTTTTATGCAAAAAAGACGAATTATGAATTTTAGATGTGCAGAAATTTAGTTTGACCCAATTAGATAGACTAGACAGGGATAAGATAGAGTCTAAAATCAGGAAAATTAATAATCTGTTGTAATAATCAGAACTGAAAATAATTAGGAAAACAGTTAAGAGAACTGGTTGTTCAAGTGAGTTCATGTAGCATAAAATAAACATAATAGAATGTGGGATAGAATGATGTACTTTGGTAAACAACTGCGACATTTATCAGTAAGCTTTATACATATTTGCATCTTCATCCATAAAAAAGAGTATGCAGAATAAGTGAAGGTTGAAATCAATTCCAACAAATATGTGTCTTTTTTACTTAATAAGACAGAGGAGTTTAATGTTTACAGTGTAAACTTATTGTACCATTTGAAGGTGCGGATTTGAAGCAGGCAAGTTTTGCCATACTCCCTCAAGACTAAAAGATTGCTCTCCACATGCCCCCTAAGGCTTGAACTCTCCAGAGGAAATACCATGCTCAGCACTCCCTGAGGTACACATTTGAGTACCATTAGCAAAGGAAGGATGGTTTGCCTCGAGTTCCATGGGAATATACAAGTAGAAAGGTCATTGCTAAGGTAGCAAGGACTCAAACCACCCAGGGATCCTATGCTTGAAATCAACACCTCTTATGACATGTGGAAATAAAGTAAAGAATAACACATGACAGCTTGCTTAGATAATATCCAGCAAGTGCTGAGCCACTGAAGTCAGGTTCATAAAATAGCCTTAAGGAGAGTCAACTCCCCAAACCCAAGTAATTATAGTGACGAGAGAGACATCCACAAATTCACAATTTCAAATTTGGTTATTAAAAAGTAGATCACCGTGGGCTGTATGTTGAATTAATAATGATTACTTAGCTTTAAAACAAACATCTAATGTCCCTATCAGGAGATTTTATGAAGACTTTAGTCAAAATAACAAAAGAAAAAGTATTCCAAGTTTGTAATTCCACGTGTTAGACCTTTAAGGCCTCACACTTTCAACCTCAAGTTAGGTTTCTTTTTTGCATAGCCCAATACCAGAAAGAAGAAATCACCATTCATTCTGATTCTGTAATGCCTAAAAAGTCATGTTCAGTAATTATTCTGAAAGACCACACTCTTCAATATAAAGGCATTGGATCCCCTGGAACTGGACTTATAGATGGTTGTTAGCTGCCATGTGGGTGCTGAGAACTGAATCCTGGGTCCTCTGCGAGAGCAGCCAATGCTCTTAACCACAGAGCCATCTCTCCATCCCCTTTATTTTTTAAAAAGTGTGTGTGTGTGTGTGTGTGTGTGTGCCCACTCCCATGTGCATGTGTGTGCATGCACATAGGCACAGTGTAATCTCAGTGACCAATGTATATAACTCTGACCTGATGATCTTTTTTTCTTGGTTTTTTAGGAACAAACACAGTTTACAGTTATAATATCTGAAAGAGTTGGTCAGTTTTAGTTAGCAATCCAATGAGTAAGCCTTAGAAAACACTTATATCCTCTCAAAATCAGAATACATCCCTGCCAAAAAGTTAGTGATGTATTTATACTTGAATGCAAATTATATAGTGCATTCTGGTATTGAACATGCAAGAATCCTAAGTATTTGAAGCATAATGTATATTCAACTTACAAAAATGAATAGGCTAATGGTGATTAAATGTGCTAAGCCTTGCATTCTAGGGGAGCCTCTCTCCAGGGCTGAGCACAAAGAATGCATTCAGTGCAAACCTCCTTCCTGTGGAAAAAGATTTTGCATTGTAAAAACAATGCCACATGATTTGTGCAAATTTTTGCATATGTATCTTTCTGAATTTTTACACTACCATTATATGTTTTTGGTAGGATAAAATCTAGGATGTTTTGACTATGTTCTTGTACCTTCAGCCCAACATATTTAATGTACTAAAGTAAACAAAGCAGCCTATTTCCTTGTTATATGAATATTCAAACACCCACCTGTTCAAACTTTGTACATGACCCCACAAAAACAGCACTGACAGCTTGATGAATTAACTATATTCCAGCGTTTTCTGACTAAGTACACTGAGAAATCCCACAATGTACATTGAAAGACATACTTGCTGCCATAGGCAAACAACTATGCTTGTAAGGAAAATATTGGTTGACTGCCTATTAAAGATTTTTTTGCTTCAGATAAATAAAAAATGATGCACCGTCATCTCTGCCTTTGAAGGCAGCGGATTTTTGAGAATTGTATGATATTAGTAGGCTAGGAGAAATGTATGAATCATATTTAGGTATATTTAGTATTTTGCTTTTCAGAATTGAAAGTTCCTACTGCTTCTAGGGACATTAGTCTTTATTCTCTAGGTACCAAATCAGTTCATGTCCCCTCCGCCCCCTCAGCACAGCAGCTGTTGCTTAATGGACTTAAGAGTTAATGTGCTGTCCAAATTGAATACAGTGTCTCTACCAAGTTGGCCTCCAATTAGCACTGATGGATTGGCTTTCTCATGAGCAGTAAAAGCTCAGTTTATAGAGATGGATTCCAATGAGAATGAAAAACATTAATTTAAGAAAACTGTGCCTTGAATTTTATGTCTGTGGCAACAAAATATGTATAAATATAAGCATCCTTTGTGAAAGGATGTTTTCTAATTCACTGGCATTCTCAGAGAGTCTCAAATTATTTCAATCTAAGCATAGGCATAGTCAGATTTGGATAGCAATGTAAATGTTCCTACTGGCTCATAGGAGAGATTATGAAAAATCTGAAAAGCAAAATGTCTCAAAGTAAAATGCAAATTTTGGTTAATAATAATAAATTCAATCTCAGTGTTAAAGATTGTCTGTTGGTGAGAAATATTTCACTTGACTTGCTCATTGCTATTCAAAACATTTGTTCCTAGATTTTTGACTGCTTTCCCAGTATTTCTTGCTATTCTTTAAGGCAGAAAAGCACGGTTTTGAGGATGGGCCAGAAGTGACCATTTAATTTGAAAGCATAATGAGTTTCCTCTTCAGCTTCCATTGGAGTGGCATGGCTTTACCCCTGATCAGATGACAGATAAGAAAGGTCTCCTTAGTCAAAACAGAATCTAGAATATGGCATGGGGGTGCTGCTGGCTGCCTCAGCAAGCACTGCTCTTAAGTCCCATGTCCAAACCACAGCTGTGATCTGTGTTTGGGTGAAAAGTTTGAGCAAATCAACTGAGCAGTATCTAACATCACAAGATGGGGAGCGGAGTTAGTTCAGAGAGCAAGGAGTCAGCCAAGAGGTCAAAAGAACTGGAGAAAAAGCTTCAAGAAGATGCTGAGCGAGATGCAAGAACTGTTAAGTTACTGCTCCTAGGTAATATTCTTCTTGCTTTCAAACATTTGATTTTTTTCTTCATTTAGGATGTGCATGCTTTTCTCAAATTTCAAGGGTGTTACCACATAGGAGATTTAGGATAAACATGAATTTTAAATCTTAAGTGTACTGACTTTTATGTGTACTCTCTATATATTTCATTTTTTTTCTGTTTATCACTTAGTATGTTAAGCAAAGATAAATATTTAATACTTGTCTCCATTTACCTCTGTCAAAAAGCATGGTTATCATTATCTGACTTTCATGCACACTCTCTCTACATATATATTTTTTAATTACTCATTATATTAAGTAAAATGTAAATATTTAATAGATGTCTCTATCTCTGTCAAAAACATGGTTATCATTATTAAAATAAGATTCATATACATATATACTTATCCCATTTTATTGTATCTTAATTATTTCCCAAATATTAGCTTTGCAATCCTGGGAATAACCATTAAGTGCAAATCATGTTCTGTTATATGTTTGGACAGAAATAAGTTGAGTGCTTGACACAAGCATTACTATGCTACTTACTTGTCCTATTAAGATCAATTAGTCTTGAATTATTTGAGCAATAATGACAAGATATTCTAAATTATATCAAGAATACTACCAAAACCTCCAAAGGAATACTGTCTTTAATACTGCTGTATGCTTACAAATGTGGCATCTAGTTCCTTGTAGAATGCTCAGATATTCATTCATGTCACAAAATATGTCTTTTATTCATTTCCTCAAAACTTAGCACAAGGTTTTATAGCAACTATAAGTTCAATAAATGTTCTATTACCTAAAAGAATTGAAATAATCTGTGTGCCGCATAGTCTCATAAACTGTTTAACATGTAGTCATCACTGAGGTAAAAGCAGCAGAATTTAGTAATTTCTTCTTAGATTAGTGAGAGAAGGAAGCCAGTGGAGCTGGGCAGAGTAGTACTTCAATTCAACAGAGTGTGAGATGCAGGACAAATTTGACAGGATACTTCTGACAAATATATATATATATTCTCAAATTCAGGTACTGACACAAATGAGAGCTAGGTTTTATTTAGTTCACCAAGTCTTCTATTACCCTTAATTATATTTTCAGTTTCACCATGTTCAGGCTATGGGTCAATTTAATTAGTGAAGGTTATGCTTTTGAAACAGTAACTTGTACTAAAATATTGTGTACATGATTATCAAAATTAATAAACATTTATTACCTAAAAATTCAAAATAAAAGCTATAATTTAATGACAAGTGTATGCTCACTTACACTTAGTTATATACAAAGCTTTAATTACTTCAGAATTATGACTCTTTCTTGCAACAAATTTCCTCGTTTTTAGAGGTTTTTTTTTTTTTTTTTTTTTTTACCAGACTCCCACTAAAATGAGTTTCAGAAACTTTCTGTGGCTTTCCCTCTCTTGCTCCTCCTCATGGAAAGGGAATTATTCTCTTCTTTGTTGCCCAAGGTCTGTGGTTGGCCATGCCCATAGCACTTGCAAGCAGTCACCTAGAGGCTCATGTTGGGTACAAGCTTCTAAAACCAGCAAATACACTTTCCCTAACATTCCAGAGAACTCTCTGACACTCTACTCGGGAGTCAAAGTAATACGGACATACAGAAGGTAGATAAAAGGTAGGGAGGGGAAGCCAAACATTCAGAAATGCATTTTGTTTTCTTTTGAACTGGTATAGTGGTGTTTCTTGTAAGTCCACATGTCTATACAAAATTCCAAAGGAATTGACAAATGTTTTCAACATTTTATATTTCATCTAACTGGATAAAAACACAAATCAAAAGCCAAAAAGTGAAGGAGTTAACATTACCATTTAGACAAGGACTAATACTGTTAACCATTTCCAAAGCCATGACCCTTGAGGTAGGTGTGTTAGAGGAGCTAGTCAATGGGAGATTTGTTTGTGATGAGAAAGAACAAGCAAAATAATAGAATTGATAGATTACTGATGCATATTGGCTTCTATAGTCAAAAAAGTCAACTATATTACTGAGAAATTCATCAGGACCCAACTTATTATATACCTATGTTTATATTTACTAAGAGTAATACTTTACTTTCTAATTAATAGTTTCAGATTTTCCTTATGACCCCTTTTATTCAAGAAATATACATCGAATATACAGTCGAGTTAAGCCAACATGGTTGAAGAACTACAGAAGGGGTATGATAAAGACTTTGACACTATCAAAGCACTTGTTATAACTCATAATATAAAGCTTATACCATAGAAGCAACTAAATACTTCTAACAAGACAGTGAGAAGAACAACTGAATACCAATAGAGCAGATTAAGTTTTTAGTCACATGAGCCAAGATTGATTTAATACTTTTGTTCAGTGTTATGATCCTTTTATTTCTCAGAGTGGTCTGGAACAATTTGTAATATGACCATTCAGAAGTTTCTGATTTTATTTATCCAAATTAGAACCATTTTCATTTTTCAACATACTTTATTTATATTTAAAGTATTAGAATAGAATACATTTTGTTCCTAAATATATCCAATCTTCTTGAAGCATGAAATTTCTTAATATATGCAAATGTTTAAACTTGTTTTTCAGTGAAATTCAGTGAAGCCTAGAAGGTAGTTAAGATATACAGACAAGCTTCATGTTTTACTCAAAGTACAATGGACAGTTGTTTATTTTTTCAATTTGAAAGTTCCAAAGATAAACAAATAATTCAGTGTTACATTTATTTATAAAGACAGTATCTGATAGTCTTAAATAGCTTTTATAATGTCCCTTATTTCCAGAATGTCAAAGGTATTTAGAAAAAGTTTCGCATACATTTACTTTTTTTTCAGATTAATTTATCTCAGTTAATGAGCACATCTTAAACATAGACTCAGGAGCTACTCACATAAAATATGAAAATTATGTATAGAATAGTCATAATTTGTTAATAAGTGTGAGCAATCCTTTCTTTCTGAGAAGATTCATCATCTACAATTTAACAAAACTTCTTTTGTAATGTCCCAGGACATGTTTTTATTTACTTTTTTCATTCAGTACTGATTTTTATTTAAAATTTTTATTAATTAAATATGTTGACAATTTCATACATTTACATAATTTTGATTTCTCTCATCCCCACTATGACTATCTCTCTCTCACTCCTGTCAACCATCACTCCTTCCTACAAGTCCCTTTCCCCTGTTCATGTCTTTCTGGTTTATTTTTCCTAGTGAGTTTAAATAGGGTCATTTGTGTGTCCATGAGTGTGAACTATCCAATGCAACCTAGTGGACTCACCAGTGAGTACATGGCTAAAGAGAATGACTCCTTTTCCCCTAGAATCCATCTGTACTCAATAGATCGGCAGGGAGTAAAAGGGAGTGGAGGGCCTTATGACCCCCTTGCCCATCCATGACTGACTGTTGACAGTCAAAATGTTGTGCAGGCAACTTCAACTGCTGTGATTTCATAATTGAAAGACAGCATTTTGCAGCCTTTCTCCCCACCTTCCAGCTCTTCCTTTCTTCCCTTCACTTCTATGTTGTTCCCTGAGCCTGAGAGGGAGTGGTATGAATGTCCTGTTTAGGACTGAGCATTCAACCACCCCTTGTTCTCAGCACCTTGAGCAGCCACCAGTCTCTGCCATCTTCCTTCACAGCAGGGAAGCAGTAGCTTCTATGAAGAAGACTGAGACTAACTTTTGTCTATAGGTATATTAAACAAATATTTAGAAGGTAGTTTGACAGCATATCAATTTAAAAGCCAAACAAGAGTAGTAAATCCACACCCTGGGGCTTATTCTCAACCATCCATGGAGTTCTTTCATTTAGTTTACACTAACCAGACACTATTTCCCCACTGTAAAGTGGACCTCAGATTTGATCAGAGAGTGGTTGTTTACCCCATAGCAATCATGCCACTGATGCTGTTTCAGTCCTGAGTTTCTTATTCCACCTCAGCACTCTACCTTTAAAAACACTTATATTACCAAAGTGAGCAGATAACAAAAATTATTTACCTTTCCATAATGTTGGAAAAAAAGAAGAGTAAAAACATTTGACAGTTTGAGCAAATGAGTCAAACATGAAGCCATGGGTCTCATGCATTGTAAGAAAAATAATTTAAAACATTAGACAAAATTTCAGAACCCATCTCCATATTTAGTTTTCCTCATGTTCCTGATGTACGAATTCATTAATGTAGAATTTGGACCTAAAGATGTAGAATTCAAGTAATTAATTCTGTGAAAAAAAAAAAATCTCTGCTGGGTGTGGTAGCAAATGCTTTTAATCCCAGGAAACTTCAAATAGATTCTTGGCATCAAGAGTAAGGAATATTTGGTCCTAGTATTTCAGTGCATTCTTTTTAATTTTAATTCATGCATGAATAATAAATTACTGACCAATGGTATTAGACCCGCAACAATGGCAGAATCTGCTTTCAATCTTTAGCTCCTCAATCTTGACCACAGTCCTAAGCTGTGAAGCAAAAGAATACCAGCCAATTATCACAAAACATTAAAATTTATATCACATACTCGTCACTGAAATGAAAATTCTTAATAAAGTGTTCCTAAATGTATTTCATGAAACCCAGAATGTCTTTGTTTCAAGAGCTTTTTCATAAAGATGTATACTAATATATAGAATTAAACTCATCCTTAAACATCACTTATATTTAATACTTATTTTATTTAATAAAAACAAGCATTAGTATTACATGCTTATATTTGTTCAGTTATTTCTAATAAAAACATTTCTCATTTAGTAAAAAAAATATGAAAAATATCTACTCAATTTATTAACTCCTAGTTCAAATAGCATAGAAGTCATATATTTAATTTCTACCTTGAAATTTTGTTTTCTAATAGACTCACCTACTAAGAATTGTTCATTCTCTAAAATATCTAGAAATTTCACTCTCTTTCAGAAGTTTCTCTCTTATTATCACTCATACTTTGCCATATTTCCTGAATTATTCAATTCATATACTGCCCTAAACCAAAGCTAGTCATTTCAGCTATGCTC